TAAATATTATCAATGAATTGAACGATCGTAATTGTCGTCAGTCAATCCGTACGAATTACCAAGAGATCTCCAAGAATTCTCAAGACGTCAAATCATTATTTATCGAGACACAACGGTTTTAAAATCGAAGAACAGCTATTTCGCCACGCACTCCTTTTCGCGTACGAGTTTCTCGTCGAATCTCCATTTATCACCCGATCCACACACAACTCACGTTATTAAATATACTGTGTAAACAGGCCTGTTTAATGGCGTCTATTAATAATAATATGCTTCTCTTAAAAAAATAAGGAATGCCTGGAATTGTACTACAGATATCTGTCCTATGTATGGCACATGCAACACTCATGAGCCTCTGACACCTGCTTGCTGATGGGACATTAATCACTAAAGATCAATAGTGATCGGTATCAATAATACCACCGTAACTATGTAATCGGAATTTCGTTGTGTAATCTTTCTCATTTACCGGTGCTAATGTGGTGGCAGGTGCACACCCAGGCTGCCTGTCTGAAAAAAAAAATCGCTATAATGTTCGGAAATAACGCAAATCCACGTGCGTGTGTAACGGTAGCGATTAACAGATAGTGATCGATCATCGATTTTTTTTCCACTCGATCGTTTCTTCTTCTTTTTTTGTTTTGGCTGATATTTGACATATACAGGCAGCTACGTTCTTTTACGACCGCCGTGAGGTAAATGCATCAGTGAACGATCGGCTAATCTTTTTAATTGAACTTCTCGCAGCATTTGCATGTCTATTTTATTAATCATGATCATGATTTTCGATCGTCGTTAACATCGAAAGTATAAAGTACCTTGTTGATAACGAGTGGAGTATCGGAACGATAAAATCGCCGGATGACTGATAGCGATAAATGCGATCGCTGATGAGTGTGTAATTAGAAACTGATGAAGTATATCGCGCGCGTTCACTGGTGCATCCAGCCTGACGAGCGAGTTATTACAGCGATGTGTAAATCCATCGATTTGTACGACTTTTGTGCGCGCGCGGGGAGGATATCGCGAGCCGTATCACTTGGGCGAAAAACGAACGGGTCTAATAGTCATGGACATTTGTCGAGATAACGAAAAGTCAGTGCCAGTTTGACGCTCGATATATACGAATAACGATCGAACGTTCGTTCTTCCACGCGAATTCCGCTGGATTGTTTATCTTGTCGTGACGCGTACAAGTCGAATGCTTCACACTAATAATATTACAAGTAGCTGGTGCAAAGCAATGCTTCGTCGTCGTCGAGAGTCCTCCTGGGCCCGATCGAGCGCGTTTCTACACGCGCGCGATCGGCGCGGCGCGAGGCCGATAATTGGAAGACGGCAGTCTTCTCGCGAGCGGAGGAGTCTCCAAGTTCTAACGCATTCGACACTCTGAAAGAAAAACTCTTAACTTTGACATAATGAGGATTTGGCGTGCCGGATTATGCTGTACGACACGCGCACGAGAAACCGGAAGCGTTGCTTTTCACCACTAACTATTTATTTCTCTCAGCTGGCGAGCTACTAGATACTTAATGTTAACGTCGGTCAGTCATAATCAGATTACTAACAAAACTGTTTTTTCTTTTCTTTCTTGTTAACCCCGGTTGCCCGTGGCCTGTAGGCTTGGAGTGCTAACAATGGATATCCACTCGCCCCGTGCTAACACCTGGACTCTGGAACAGCATCCCGCGTTCGATCGGTTCACCAACCAGCCGACCACCTTCGCCGTCCGTCCGCGTCACCAGCCCCGTTCGTCAAGCTTATCCATCATCCTGTACCCTCTTAAATGTTCGGAAACGTTATAGTTTTTCTCGAGCGCGTCTCGGCGATCGACTCGAGTCGATCGCCGATTGGAATCCGAGCCACTTCGCGCCGTCGTAGCCCCCGTCGACGGCACGAATTATTATCTCACTTCGCAAAGATAAGAAAAAAAAAACGGTAGCGTTGCGAGGTGCATTAGCATAATATACGGAGATTGGGGGGGAGGGACGCTATATATATATGTTTTATATAATATATATTTATGTATAAATATATATTACATATTTTATATAGAATCCCCGCACGCGCCTTTTTGCGAGTAAACGCGGGAGACTATCACGGGCTTGTCTTGGACGCGAGTCAGGTATGCGCAATTCAGTGCAACGTTAGCGGTATTAGCAACAGTAGTTTTTAGTAAGAATTTTAGTTTACCATATATTTTTAGTCTCCCATAGGGGAAGGGGATTTTGTTGTAGCACGCGCGCGCGATGTGTCTCCGAAGTATTTTTATTTTCTCTCTCTTCTCGCGGCGGCGATGAAATTGTTGTTCGCGTTTTTCCCCAGTACTTACGACTACGCTGGCACCTCCCCGTCTCTGGAGATGGCAGCGCGAGAATGTGACAACATTAACTTAATTGATATATTTTTCGCGCATTTTTAGAGCTAACTCCTGGAGGAAGGTGTCGCGCGAGAAAAAAAATTAACAGACAAGAAGAAAATTCGCGAGATATTCGCGAAGAGCTCTTCGAGGATCTCGTCGAAGGAAATTGATGCCAATGTGTCTTCCTTTTTTCTCGCGCGACACACCTCTCATGTCGGAGAAACTGTCGAAATTCTGTACAACTCTCTCGCATAAATGTGCCTTATTGTAATATTAACGTAGTGCGGTGTAGCCGCGTTACCGTTCTAGATTATAAAGCTTTATTATCGATAGGCTCTATGTAGTAGCGTTAGAACTGTGCAATCAAAATTTAACTTTCTCACGACATGTATATCCCTGGAAGGAGAAGGGCAACGCCGCGGTTAGACCGCTCTCCTAACGATCCTTCTCGTTAGATCGCGAGAAGAACTGTTGGGAATATTCGTAATCTAGAATCACGAATATCCCGAAGAGAAGGCTTTAAAAGTATGCGTCGTATGCGGATGCACGAGAGAGAGCTACATGTATATATTGTTTCAGCTGAAAGTATTAAGAGAAGTGCTATTCGCAGAGAATATTTCTAGGATGTCAATGTGCAATACACGTTGATGAGAGAAAAGTGGCAGGGCGTCCAAGGTGGCAGACGCGTTGCCAAGGCTCGTTGAATAAATTGCAGATTTTAACTTTACGAAAAACTTACAATTCAAACCGCAGGATTATCGAGTAGATACGTACAGTTGCATAAATATCGATAAGACGCGTCGATATTATCGGGCGAAAGTAAAAAACGATAGAAGTATCGCGACCTATTGTTTATAACTTTCTACGACGCAGAATTATTTTGCGAGATATTATAATCATATGAATATAAAGAAAAAAATGTAATCTCTGTCTACATACGTGCAAAGAGTGTTTGCGTGAGAGAGTGACTTACTTAATATCGACTTTATCATTAGAGAGTTGCACCACTTTTAGGTCTGCCATATTGTACATGTAACGATTAAGAAAACGATATCACACAAGTTGCACGCGTTATATAACTCCTGTATAGTCATTCATGTGTCAAATGTTATACTCGTTCTCTTTCGACAGATATTTTTTGAATTTTTGTCCGAGAAGTGTACCTCCTATGTGTACCGATAGCTTGGTCCTTCGTGTATATATAAGCGTTGAAAAGTATACACGCGCACATTTAAGAGTGATCTGAAATCTACTTAAGTTCTCAACGTAAAAAAAAAGTATATCCGATATATATTTTATTATTGTACGTAAATAATTGATTTAACGAAATATTTTGAATATCATTGTCTTCTATTAAGTGCGATTATAATATACGAATTATATACACGCATTCGCAAGCGTGATTATACACAGAACAGATATGTATACTCTTTATGTATATGCTGTCTAATATATATATGCGCGTGAGAACGTAAATTATTACACATGTATACACATAATGTATTATACATATGCACTGACTCAGTTGAACATCCAGACGGTATGAATAAATATCGATGCGCTTTACTTCTGCGTTAAACGGTAATATATTAATTGTCTCTTATAATTTCGAAACGAGAATCCATTTTAATGTTTGCGTTGTGTCAAAAATAAAAAAAAAATTATACGGTTTGTATATTATCGCAGAGCCCGCATTGCTTCATCAATTATATAAGCTACATATTGCATAAACACCCGACCTTTATTATTATTTTTTAAAATAATTCTAATTATCATTATCGCAGAAGTAAACGCTGACGTGATTTATTTACGCCCTGTTATCGTATTTATAAATATATACAGAATAAGTTGCATAAGAAATTATGCATGTGCAAGCAATCTTGTTAGATCTTATGGCATGCGAATTTACATTTATTATTCTATATAGTTATATAGTTTTTTTTGCCGAAATTTATTGTATATGATAATTTTTTAGTTTCATATTTTATTTTAATGTTGATATATGTGCAGGATATGTGGCAATATTAATATGTAAGTGACAATGAAAAGCAATTCTGTTTTCTGAAATCTCGGAAAGATCTGATTATAAATCATAGTGTACTGTACGCTACTTATGGAAGAAAATTTACAATTTACAATGAAAGTGCAAATAAAATAGTTTATACAAACATGTATAAATACTATGATGAACGGTAATAAAAATATTTTTTCAATACTCGACACTTCCTTGACACTCGAAAGAGCAAATATAAGATTACCATTTTATCAATATTATTTTTATAATTGTCAAAAAGTAAATGGACATTTCATACAAAGTATATCTACATTAGCTTTCACTATTAAGAGAGAATATTCCACTATTAGGGGGTAGACAACCTAAGCGAAGAAAATAGACTTTTTTTAGACAAGTTAAATATTCTTTTATTAGTAATAAAGGAAATCCAGTTCTTCCCGTTCAATAGCCTAGTGGTGGACATGATTTCGGAGTAACGAAAAATCTAAAACAAAATTAGAAAAACAGATTCATAATCTAGTAAAGTGTCTCTAAAATGTATTGGAAGCAAAATTTGGAAAAAATTTCTTTTTTATTTTATTGAAGAAAATGCAATTTTGCACTTTTTTGCAATTAAACTGTTTCCGATTTTCCACATTTGTTTTCACATTTTAAATATTATTTTTAATAACATGTGAAAAATTTTTGAAAGAAATTGTTGGATCCGTTTTCGAAATTTCATGTTCATCATCAGATACGGGACTGTTTTCTTTTATTACCAATAATACCCATTTATTAACGGGAAATAACGCGAAAATTATTAATAACTTTTTATATAACGACTCTTTTTTCGAAGTAACTTTAAAATTCAGAATCATGTGCCAAAATTTCAAATACTCAAGAGTTTTTTATTTCTTAAATACTTAATTTAAAAAAAAAAGATAAATTTTTGTTATCACTTAATATAATATTAAAAATTATTTTCTTATCGTTACAATAAATACACCCGATATGAGATAGAGGATCCCTTTATCCCTTTATGACTTCGGTAATCGATAGAGACTACCGGAGAGCAACAGCTGATGTTCCCTGACTTTTCTGTCCAAAAACTGCCTTAGTTCCGGCAAACCGCATTCCACGGCACCCGGTCCTTGCGACGCGAACATTTTCAACATCTGATGAATCCTTTCTATTGGCAATGAATCTAGATTCGTCAACATCCCAACAATGTACGACCAGAATACCTGTAGTTCCTCCTCTCTCTGATCGCTGGCTGAAGCCATTGCGCTTTCAGCCTCTTCGTCGTCGACAATGTCGGTCGATAAACGACTCTTGGACGTACTCTCCTCTTGCAGAATGAACACGTCACTAGATGTCTCCTTCAGAAGGCCTTGCGACACCCAGAATGACATCTTGCGTCGCAGAACAGTCGCCGGTGCGTGCATCACCTCCGCCAGATCTTGCAAAGTCCACTCATCTGCAAAACAAATTTAACTTAAGAGCGACCGTCTCACTATGCGCTTATATTCAATTCAACAAATCATCAACACGTTCTTACTTTTATCCTGGAAGTGCAAGATAATCGTCGCGTGCACCGGCGTGACGTTTATATCCAGCTTTCTGTCCTTCAATTCGATTTCCAGGCTCACATTTCCCAAGTGAGGCTTCCAGCAGAGCGTTCTGTTTCCCTTCAAAGCCTCGAACGCCTTTACGTATTTGTTCAATTGATTCTGCACGATACTCGGCAGTTTCAATTTCCAGTCTTCTTTAAACGGCGGCCAGAACTGCGCCGATAGTATAAGCGCGGAAGTGGGAAAAAGTTCCCTTTGCAAGTTGTAACTGGTGTCAGAGTGGATGTTACCGTCTATCCTCTTCGAATCGTAAACGTCCTTCAGCATGACTTCGCAGTAATGCAGCTGATTCTCTCCGAATCGTCTTTTCAACAACTCCAAGTGACGTATCTCGCGTTCGGTATGATAGTTGAGTTGCGAGAGTAGTCTATCCGCCAGCAACGTGCGATACTCGTTGACGAATAAATCCTGGCTGCCGTAAACGTTCACCAGCGTAGAGATTATGTCAGACACTTTACGCTGTGTCGACTTAGCTGGAAAGATAAATCCTCATTTAAAAAACACCTTTAATATTTCGGTGAGTATATAAATGTCGAAATTCTTTTTTGTGACTCAATTTCGATCCAAATCTTAATTTGGAGATACATACATATATCTTAAATCCAGTTCGGAAATATAATCATAGTGATAAACGCGATTTAGAGGAACACAGATTTTGTAGCGAAAAATTCACGCTTGAAGTCAACGATAAAAGAAAAATTTCGCGCTATAATAGAGCTTCGCGATTTACCGGGATCAGCGTCGACCGGATCCGGCAACCATTTCTCCCAATCTTCAGACTCATCGTCCGCCGAACCGTCGTCCAGCTGCAGGCACTCGCCCCTCACCAATTCATCAGCTAACTCGCTGGGTGAATCATCGAGCAGGCTATTAACGACGGAACGTACGGTGTCTTCTCTGCTCCTCAAGTAGCATCTAAAGAGTAAATTGGACTTGACAAAAACTGAACTTTTCAGCTTTTTGCATTAAAATTCTAAAGATCGCATGTTACAGATCGTAATTTTAGTGCGATAAAGCAAGGGATCTCACTTAATGGGCTCCGTAACAGTTTCTAGAAGAACTCCAGTTGGATCGAGGTGTTTGAGCGCTTTAATCGCGGCAATATAAGCGGTCACTATATCCGGGGTATTCACACCGGCATGCAGAAGCCTCGTTTTGATCGCTTCCTGCAGATTTTTAACCAGGACCTTCCGCTTATCGGTTCTTTCTAAACAAATTCGGAGATCGTCCACCGCGGGTTGCGACTCGGGATATTCTAGAGAAAAATGTGGCGCATAACTGTACACAATCGCAAATAAATGTAGAAATGTCAGACACTTTACGCTGTTTCAACTTAGCTGGAAAGATAAATCCTTATTTTAAAAACACCTTTAATATTTCGGTGAGACAATACGAATATTTGTAGATGTACAAGCTAAATGTACCTATTATTATGTTAAAGAGATGATCGATTCTTATGTTGGTGTACGTTTCGTACAGATAATGAGATAACTTCTGCTTAAACTTGTTTATGGCGTCGCGAATTTCGTCGCCAAGTACTTCCGTGTTCGAGAAACCACCGGAGTAAACTCTTATCAGCCACTTCATGACGACAGTCTCGAGCCACTAAAAAAATCATATGCAATAACAGCGTGTTATTATTGCACAATTATATAATATATATTAGATAACGAGAACCAACATTTTCTAATGAGGCCAACTGTGACACATCAAACGTCTTATCGCATTTTTGAATTACGTGATTCTCAATACGAATATGGATCAGCGACGTGAGTACGTTTCCTACAAGTCTCTCCAATAACTCCAGCTCGATTAATTTTCTGTTTGTCTCGTGAAACATGTAAACTATCATCTGGCACCGGCAGTTCTCCACTTCCTGGGCACATCTTGTGCATTGGATCTCGCTGGCTGACATGTCCGCTTTAAAATAACATATATTTCTATAATATTTAACGTATTTCAGACAAATCACAGATACACAACACAAATAATAAATGTGAATGTTTACCTTGCGACGAGTTGTCCAAAATGCAAAATATGTTGAACGCGATTTTATAAAAGTGTCCTATGATACATTCGTGGCACAGAGGTAACTGGCTCAGTAATGTCGCTCTCACGATAAGCCTGAATCGTGCCTCTATATCTATATCGTCCTTGCCGCTTGGTAGAGAACATTCCGCGCCTTTGTTCTGCCTTAAGTATTCTAGCTTCTTTAGAACCGGCAGAAATTCCATGAGATGCTCGTACAGATCATCGACAGCAGACTTGAACAATTCAAAGCCCCGTTGGCCATCTTCTGTGTACTCGAAGTTCTTCCAGAATGCCGGGGCCACGTAACAACGAATGTACTGTTCTATGTTATGAATCACGATCTCTATGACATAGTATGTCGACTTGAAGAATTGTATAACTTCTACTAAATTCATAAATTCTTCCTCCGTACATTCCTCTTTAACCTGAAAGAAAAAGATCATTATGCGTCTCTTGGAGTAAGAATTAGAAAAAAGAATCCTTGACTGAATTATATATCTCAATACAATAATAATAATAATATATAAGTATACACTAGGTTTCTTTTTAATTTTTATTGCGATCTTCCTAAAACTTGTTAAATTTTTTTATACATATCCATTCGAATATCAAGCACATATTAAAGCTATAAATCTCTGAATAATATAATAGTCAAATTATCCAAAATAAATGTCATTTAATAATCTAAGTGTTTGAATTATCAACATCTTACAATATCCAATATCAAAACCGGAATTCATGAGTTCGCATCCTAAATAGAACAGAAAAGTCAAAATACTGTCAATTTGACTTTTCTATTCTACTTAGGATGGAACTGCAAAAAAGGGAAATTAATTGCAAAATGCAATATACTAAAATTTATTAAAATTACATAAAATTGCGAGGAAGGACACGAATTTGCTAACAGATAGACCAAATTTTATATAATTTTAATAAATTTTAGTATATCGCATTTTCCTTTCTGGAAGCTTTCTGCAACAATCTGTGCTGTATGGGCAGTTATCGTTGTCGTTATATTGTGCAGGTATAATATATAGTAAAAAAGTTAGGAGACGACATTATAACGTTAAGAATTATCGTTAAGAATCACAGAATAAATGTACTGACACATGTATCATATCCATATTGAGGTTACGATTTCATGCTGTAATTTCGTCGTCGATATCGTAAAGGACATGCCGTTATTAAAGACGCAAATTTATTATGATATACAATGTACACCGTATGTTGCACATACCTTTCCTCTAACTATTGGAAATACATGGTCTAATTGATCGAAGAAAAAATCCCTCGATTTCAGCTCTACCTTCGCCATGTTTGTTTAGAAGCTGACTGAGCACGCTAGCAGACCACGTGACTGACGGAACGGGATGGGATGGCACATGTAAACAAGTTGCCCAATTTAGGTTATGTTGTGTTAGGTTAGGACTCACGATTTAAAGGAAGCAAAGTGAAGAGAAGTATTAAGAGATTTCTTGGAACTCTTTTACATACTAGAGTGACTTGGATCAAACTCCAATTTAGGGCTTGTCGAGTAACATTTGCAGCAGTTTATCAATGTAATTGGAATTATTAATTTTTCATTGCTTAACGTTGAAAGATTAAATTCAGAATACATATGTAACATAATCGGGAGTTCTGCCGCGCAAGTAACTCTGCAGGTCGTTAATTTAATCGCCAGTTAATCAAAGTCGATCGAGGCCGCCGTCAGAGAGATGTGATACAAATATTGGAAGTGCACGTCTTTATTTTCAGAATTGCCGTGCAAACATGAATGTATTTTCATTCAAGTATAGGAACGTGATTCTGGGGGTGACTGCGATCGCCGTTGGATATTGCGCGGTCCTCACGCCACACACTGTCTTCCTGAAAAAATACAGATACATGGTGGCCAGATATCAGTGAGTAGTAAAAGGTTTTAAGATTTGCGTTCTTACTCCAAGCCTGCGATTTAATATCCTCCTCTTCTGAACGCACAGAATGTCCAAGGAAGTGCCGTTAGGCTATAAAATCCAAGAGAGAATTCAGAAGGTAATGGACGACTTGAAGCTGCCCGACGACGTCAGGAACGCCATAAAGCCCTTCAGTGTGTTTGGCTTCGACATGTTACACGCCGGCACTCTCAACGCCAAGTACGGCGCGATACTGGGTATACCCGTTAACTTCACCAACACGACGGAGCAGCTCCACGAAAATCTGTGCATCAAGGAGGAGCCGGTGGATTGGACGCGGCAGGACGCGCGGATCTTCCTGAAAGCGGTGATGCTCTCCGAGGACGCGCAAAAGTTCGCGATAGCGCGCGAGATCCTGCGAATCCAGGCGGAGGAGCCGTATTTCAACTCGCTCGTGCTGGTTCTGACCGTAGCGGTTCTGTGGACACTCTGCAGCGTTGTATCGTACAGATTTAGATTGCGCGAGGGCAATGCGACAGTGCGGCGTATATTTTACGCGGTCTTCACCTTATTCGGTGTAATACTGTGGCTCGGGGTAAAGGACTATCGGAGCAATCAGCTCGACAAGAGGGACGACGAAGCCCTGTGTCGTTTAGGAGCCGAATATATCAAGGGGGGACAGGAGTTCTACGAAAAAATGTTAATCAGAAACAGAGCTCTGAGGTCTCTCTTAGGGCCGGAAGGGAAAAAAATATATACCGCTTACGGAAACGAAGAGACTTTCTTGAGACAGAAGCATATGCCGATCACCCACAGGAAGGATTTCTTCGACTTCCATCTACGAAACTTGGAAGGTATGAAATAAATTGGTTTCTTTACACCTAGAATTTTAAGCAGAGAACTTTTTTTACGTGTATGCCATCCAAGATCCTTTAATGATGTCCGGCGCGCACCTCCTAGTTTTCTACTCGAAACGTATCCTTTTTGTTTACGTAATTAACTGCATGGGTCAACTTTATATGCGCGCGAAAAACGGAATAACACACGTCGTATGACGAGGTGCCTTATTGTGGACACGAATATATAAAAAGAATCATTTAATGTATAGATTAATGTACATATATTTCTAGACGTTAGTGATACTGATTGTTGGTGATAAAATGCGATATCTATAATAAACTATTTGAAAAACAGTATTCATTGCGAATATATATTATTAATTGCAAATTACGCATATTAGTCTTTAGACTGTTGTACTTACGAGACATTGGCTGCGGTCCACTTGATGCTACAAATGCTTCGAAGCATTCCTCTTCTCCTTTCTTTCACTAAAGAAAGAAGGAGAGGAAGAACGCTTCAAAGCATTTGTAGCGTCAAGTGAACCGCAGCTATTGTCACATCCTTAACGTAAAAAGCGTTCATCGTAGAAGATACATACTTCCAACGCGTGTTTAGATGATTATCTTATCTTTTATGCGATGAAAATCACAGATAAGGACATACTTTATACATTATCTATATTTCTATATTATATAAGCCTTATCACATACGATAACATTCTGTTAAATTAATATTTATAAAAATCTGTAAACATTACATATTTCAGCTAATTTGTACAAATTCTCGTTTTCTTCTTTATATATGTAACCGAAGATACAGCTCGCGCGAGCGGCCTGTAGAAACATAGAATACTCGGGCAGAAAAACGCGTCAGTTATCTATAGAATTCTTCTATACAGGAAAGTTGTACATCTCGGACTATGTGAGACCAAGCGAGCCAAACTGAAAAGAGATCCGTGTAGCATGTTAGATACATATGTACTACGCTATGTAGAGAGATCACTTTGTGCAGCCGCGCTTACCAGAGTTAGCTTATCCTCCTCCTTCTTAAGTACCTTCGCGGTCTGTTCCTGATCGAACTTGACGACGGCGGCGATTACTCTGGCAAGCACCATTGTCTCTCTTCCCATCATATATTCGAACAAAATGTTTCTGAGGTACTCGATCTCCGTCGAGTCTTCCAATGTGTCATGTCGCAAGTTCACGAGTTTCCTAAGCTCTGCGAGTTCCCGCCTTTGAGAAGTCAGGGTCTGTTGCAGGGTGTGAATCGATCCAGTGCTCGTATGTATCGCGGCCATCGCCACGCGTGAAGTGCTCTCTAATTCCTGTATGAAATTTCAGTTTACTCTTTGCGTTCTCTTAATTATTCCATTAACTTCACTATTTGAAAGTATGCACAGAGGAAAAGCGGCTTTAAGCATTAAAAAAAAAGAAAATGAAACAAAGCTTTACCTTGGAACCTGCGTCAGTTTGTGGATCAAGCTGAAAATAATGCGAAATACGTGAACGCAAATTAAAAAATTAAATTTAAAAAAAAATGCAAAATGTGCATGAATAAATAATAATCATTAAAATGTATAAATAAATAAATTAATTTAAAGGAATATACATATAGCGCTAAATTATATATCTTTGAATTATGCATGCAAACTTACCTTTCTCTCATTCTGCCACTCTTTTGTTAGTTCATTCAATTCCTCCTCATGTTTAACTTGCAGGTTGTCGATTTTCTGCTGCACTATGGCCTTCCACTTCTTCTCCAATTCTTTTATCTCGTTAGCGTGTTCCTTCTTAATCTGCGCGATCGTTTCCATCAAGCGGTCAATATCCTTTCCCTTCTCTGCTACCACATCTTTTTTTTCCAGGACGAGGCTCTCGAGCTGCTCGGACTTCTCTGTCAACTCTATTTGAAAATCTTTTAATTGCTCCTTGTACTGTTGCACAAGATTCGATTCGTAGTTGTGTTGGCGATCTATATAAAAATTAGATATTGATTATTTATCAGGACGTTTTTCAAAATATTTTAGTCTTATTATATATAAAGTTTTTTTAGATAAAATAGCACCATACCGAAACGTTTCTCCAACGCGGCTTGAAGTTCCTCTTCCTTGTCGTGCAACTGAGCTTGGAACTCTTTGACCAGCTGCTTCAGCCTCATTCCTTGTTCCTCCTCGCTGGTCTTCAACTGTTCCCTCAATTGATTGGATTGCGACCTCAGCTCGTTATTTGCCAGTTGCATCTGCGTCTCTTTCGCTTGGAATGTTATCAACGTCTCGTCGAGCTGCGCCTCCAATCTTTTATTCTCCTCGCGTAACTTGTCGCCGTCAAGTTTCACGTCTCCGTCGTTACGGACTGTCTCTAATTGCTTTCGCAATGTATCGTTCGTACGAACGAGAGAATTAATCTCCGACTGCAGGCCAGCGATCTTTTCCTCCGATTGCGCGAGCGAATTTCTCAGCGTGTCCGCATCCCTTCTCCTTTCGTCGACTTCAAGAGAGAACCGCCTCAAATTCCCAATCTCCTGCGACATGTTGGATATTTTGTCCTCCAATAATTTTATCTCCGCGTCTTTCGCCGTCAATAAATCTTTCAAGGCGCCCAACTCCGTCGACGAATTCTTCGCGGACTGCAAAGTCTCGATCTCCGACTGCAATCTATCGTTTTCCGTCCGTAGGGCCTCTAAACTAGATATTTTAGATTGTAAATTATTTACATGAGTTTGCAACTCCACGTTACCGGAATTTACACTTTCCAACTCGGCAATTCTGTCTTTTAACGCTTTCCGCTCGGCAATCAGCGCGTTGTTCTCCGAACGTATTGTCTCCGCGTCAGAATTCTTTTGGATCGAATTGCTAAGCTCTGATTTCAACTCCGCGTTCTTATCTTCGATGTCTTTAATTCTTTTAACTTCATCCCTCAGCGACTTCAACTCTGCGCAAAGCCGCTCGTTCTCCTTCTTCATGACGTTGCCGTTCGTCAACGCTGTATCCAACTCGGAAATTTTATCCTTCAACTCGGTATCCCGCTCGTTAAGTCTCCCTTTAATCTCCTGCGATTCTCTCTCGCTCATCGCCCGTCTCTCGTCCAGCGAATTCATTTCCGTATCTTTACGTTCGAGCTGCGCGTTAACGATCGTCAATTCGTTGCTCAAGCGTTCTACCTCCTCGCTCTGACTGTTCAGCTGGGACTTATACGACTCCACGTAATTCTTCACCGCTCCTCGTAATTCTTCAATCTCCTTCTCGTAATCTGCGATTTTCTGCTTCAGAGCCTCGTCGTTTTCGCAAAACTTCTGATTACGGCTCAAGAGATCGTTATGCTTGTCCTTCAGATCTTTGTTCTCCAGGGCGATCTGAGAATTTTCCAACTTCAGCGACTCCATCTGCTTCTCGAAGGTTCCCAACATGCTCGACAATTCTGCCTGCCGAATCTTCGATTCGTCAAGCTCGGCTCTCACTTCCTCGATCGTTTTACTTTGCCGCTCTTTAATAGTTTTCATCTTCTTCAATTGCACGAGCTTCACGTTCACCGTTTCCTGCAATACTTTGTTATTCTCCATTAATTCGACAGTTTCCTTCGCGTGACTCTCCCTCGTCGCCTGGTACTCCGCCTCCAAGTTCAGGTACTTCCTCACGTGTTCCTCGATTGTCTGTATATGACTGTCGCACGTAGATTTCAAATGCGCGACGTGCCCCTCCTCGCTCGCCAGCTTCCCATCGCGAGTCTTTATCTCGTTCTCTTTTTCAGCCAGATCGTCCTTTAAGCGAGCTATTTCTGATTTCAAGGCGTGCAACTCCTCTCGCAACGTGTCGTGATCGCTGCCCTCCGATTTTAACGAGCTAATGACCTCGGTCGCCTCGCGTAACTTCGCGTTCAACTCGTCTACTTCCTTAAAGACGCGACTGGCCTGCGCGTGCTTCTCCCTTAAGTCATCAATCTCGACGGACAACGCGTGATTTGCAGACTCGAGATTCTCCATCGTCCTCAATCGTTCTCGCAGGACCATGACTTCCTGTTGCGACTGCGTCAACTTGTGCGATGCCGTTTCTAGATCGTACTTATTAAAATAGAGATTATCGATCTCGGCTATTAATTTTTCATTCATCCTATTAAGCTCGTCGTACTGGTTACTTTTCAGCATCATTTCTTCCAATCGTTCGTTGCTCTCCCTCAATTTTGCTTCTAGCGCGAATCTGTGATCCGTAACTCGCGCTAGTTCCGACTGCAGTCCTGCTTCGTTCAACGTAAGCTGTTCTAAATCCTTTACCTTCGAACGCAATTCGTTCACTTCGGACTTGAGTGTCACGTTCTCTTCTTCGAGCTTCGCAAAAGATACGGCGAGAGTCGCGTTCATGTCCGATATTTTGGTCTTCTGATTTGAGAACTCTTCCGCAACGACACTTTTAACGTCCATGCAGTCCTGCTTTAAACGCCGCATACAATCGTTGTAATAAATAAGACGATTTATCAAGTCGCTTCTCTCCTTTTTCAATAAACTTATAACTGAACTGTCTGCCTGGATCTTATTCGTAAGGTCGTCGATCGTAGACTTGCAAAGTTCGAACTCACTTCGCATCGCGTTTAATTCGGCCTTTTTACTTTCCAATTCTTCTCGCATCCCAGAAAGCTCCTCCAATTTATCATTCAGAGATTTTATCTCTGCCTCCTGGTCGATCAATTGATACTTGGTTTTCTCGAGCATGGCTGCGTACTGCTGCATCTTCTTGTTATAATTCTCGCACACTTGATCCCTGTCGATCAACGCGTTTCTCATGTTCTCCAATTCCTTGTCGACGCTTTGTACCGTCGCTTGGAGCTTCTCAATCGTCGAGTCGGCGTCTTTCCGTTTCTCTTCCGCGACAATTTTATACGCGTCGTACTCCGTCTTCAGGTCCGAATGTGTGACTTTCCAAGCAAGCAGTTCGCTATGTAATGTCTCCCTATCGTGTCTATATTCTACATTTTGTTTTTCCATTTCATCCAATTTATGCCGCAATTCCTGCAACTCGGCTTCTTTTTCCTTTAAACGAGGCGTTGCTTCATCCGGTATATTCTCGTCCTCCGTCCTCGCTTCCTTACCGTGATCGACTTCCTCGTGACGTTTTATTCCCGCTTGTCGCGTAGATCTCGCTGCTTCGGTCTTCTTTTTTGACGTGTCGTGCGCTATCGCGCCTTTCTCCGCAGCTATACTCGAATCAGCGCGCTGGGATTTGAATTCACTCAATTCGGTCTTGTATCTCGCTATTGCCTCGTTCAAATTCTCTTTATCTTCCGTTACGTGCTTCAGATCGATTCGTAGCTGCTTGATTTGCTCCTCTTTCTCCTCGAGTTCCCTGTGCACGGAAAGTTTATTCTCGGCTAATGAAATCGCCACTTCCTCTTCACGTTTGTGCAAAGTGTCTACTTGTTCGGTCAGTTTTTCGATCTCGATACGCGCCGCACTCAATTCGCCCTCCGTCGCGCTTATCCTCTCGGCAGTGGAATTCTTTAGCGCCTCATGATCGTTCTCCAGGGTGTTCTTCTCCTTCATCACTTCCGTAAATTTCTCCTTGTTACGCTTCAAGGATTCCTTGTACTTCAAAACGAGGCTCTCCAGCTTTTTCAATTTATCCTTCAACTGAGTATTTTCTATCGACAGCGCGTTACTCTCGTCGCTAGACGGCTCGTTCGTCAAATCGATTAGGTTTCCTTTAGAACTCTCCTTTTGTTGAGCGTCTTCCGACACTGAATTGTCTAACGTTGGTCCGCTTGTTTGCAACAATCTTATCTTTGTATTTAACGTATTTATAATGTGATCCTTCTCTTCTATATCGTTCCTCAGCACGTCCTCCAAGTGTGCCTTCGCTTGTTGCTCTAATTGACATTGCTCCTTTAGGTCGGCTATTCTTCTTAGAACCTTGTCTTGCGTTTCAACCAACACGGACTCCAGCCTGGCTTTCACTCTGTCCAATTCGCGATAGTGCGTGGCTAGATCCGTATATCTACCGCGATACTTGTGATACTTGGTCTGTACCTTTCGATAGGCGGAGTACAACTGATCCTTGGTAACTCTATCGAGATGAGGACTGATGTTGTCGTCCACTTCGCTAGCCGACTGATCCATGTCCGACTACAAAAGTACAAAACTGTCAGTGTCGTCGAAGAATTGCAAACCTCTCTGTCAGTGCATGGGTATTTATACACGACTTACCTGTAAGTGATATAAATTTGAGGGACTCTCGTACATTGGAAACAACGAGGACGCGTCGCTGGTGACGCTGCTCACCGAGGACCTTCTCGAGACCTCCGCGCGATTCTGCGACGGCGATATCAGGTCAACATTTTGAAAGCTGTGCTTCGCCGGAGTGTTCTTTGGCGTTTCTGCAAAACGAACAATTCCATACAGTCACCAAAATACTCTGTACAGAATATATGTAGTACGCAACAGGATAATACTGCGTTATGTGCGGTATTATTTACAAAGTGTCATATACGGGAAGCGTCGCCAGAACAGAACGCTCATATGTACATCAGAGATCCTTTGTGTCTCCGGAGTCAAAGTATCATTAGCATCCCTTTTCTGGCGACTCATTCCCCAAATCTTCAGATTCTAGACCTAGACACCTGTCAAGACGATCAGGTGCGCGCTTACCGTCTCCATCCTCCGTCAAACTGAAATTGTCATTCGACGCTGACACTTCCTGAATGGAGCTGTTGGACAGGGCCGGCGACACCACCGCCTGCAAGAAACAACAACAACAACAACGACAAAAGAAGGGACCGATTGAAGATCGTCACTTGCGCGTTCGAACGCGCGGATAGGAAAGGAAAGGGTCGCGACCTGCGCCAGTTGTTGCACGCTCGCCTGCAGCCTCGCGGGCGACTGCTTCATCTCCTCCGCGAGCTTGTCCTTGAATTTCTTGAACATCCTGGCTGCGCGTTGGCTGTCGGAAGCGGCGGTCGGGCGATAAGGCGCGCGCGATAAAGCGCCGAGCGAAATCAGAGTCCGTCCGCGACGGTCGGGGCCGGGATCGGTCGCGCGCGCTGTTTACGTGGACACGGGCCGTCGAGAACGGTGGCGCGAACACGAGGAATCCGGACTACGGCGGGACGGTGCGGCACGGGGGACATAGTGATACCGGAAACCCGCCTCTCCTCCTTCCGCCGTGCGGATCCTCTCGCGAGCGAGAACACCTCCGATAAGGATAAAATCGGGGAAAAATCGCACGAACGTCGAGACTCGAGCTACATTATTTGATTATCCCACGTATCCACTGTGCCATATGTATGTATGTACACGCATGTGGGCGTGTGTGGGTGCGTGGGCCGCCATTACCGCTCGACGCTCGATGACGTCATCGGGCGTCAGACACCGTTCTCAACGGCTGACTCTCTCTCTCGCGTGACGCAAAGTCCGGTTTATTTACAATTGCGACGACGGTCAGATTCCGAAAATTAGCAAAGAAAGAAAAGTATGTTATTCGAGAAAGATTAAATAATCGACAGAAGTATTTTTTATTTAGGCTTATTGTTAAACTGAGATTATTTTTAATTAATCTGTCCACTTCTATC